GTTTTGCAAACTTCTATCATGTGATCTCCAGCTTCCTATCACAAGGCGTATTTTTAACTACCGATCCTTCCTCGTACGCTTCCAACTTTCACATTCCACTCGCCAGTCGTTATCAATGCGTCTTGATTGCATGCTTACTCATTTTCAGACTGAAAAAGGTGGTAAAATCTTTCAATGTTTTTCGACTGGCTTTAGTGACTGTTATGTAAATTGAAATAATCGTTGTATTAACTGGTCTTCCTTGTGAGTGTATATCTATTATTCTATCACAAACAGCATTGCTCTTCAAGTTTTTGAGGATGGATACAGTCATTCCTCTTGAACCTGTCATTCTTAGCAAACAACGCGTCCTATTCAAGTAGGCAATACCAGCTCTTCAGCTCACTGATGTCTAAAGTCATTTTATGTTGTCCATTTCATCTGCGACTACTTCTGACCTTCCTAGGTCCCACCAAACTTCCTACTTCTCAAATATTAATAGGTGTTTGCAGCTGCTTGTTCTTGATTTGAATCATGCCAAAAACCTCTCTCTATCCACATCATTCAGGTCGACTCTACTTTGCAGCAGCACTTTGTGTAGTTGTAGAGTGTCAGTGAACCCACGGAGTTCACTTCTGGTACTGTGTAAAACGACACTCTGCAGCTAGTCACAAGGTTTCCAGGGGCTAATCCCTCAGAAGTGGGCTACCACTCCTTTGTAGTCTAGTCTGGAGGCTCTGCGGAAACCTATACATCACGGGTGACCCTGCTGGTATGTGGAATCCTGGTGGCTTAACCTCCAGTCTCACAGCAGTACACAAGCCACCACAGGGCGACAATGAGTGGGATTCCATTCGTAATGTTTAACATGTTTTTAGATAAGGTGGTATTGGTCAGAGTCCTTCACTGTGAAGTCTATTTTCCTCCTTGTAACAGGCATTTTGCGAAACGGCCTTTATCTACCCTGTTTCCCAAAAATAAGGCAGTGTCTTATATTAATTTTTGCTCCCAAAGATGCGCTAGGTCTTATTTTCAGGGGATGTCTTATTTTTCCATGAAGAATACGGTACACATTGATTAATTAAAAGAGACCTTGCACTTCCTGTTTGCTCCGGCTGCACTGCGGCCAAGTAAGCTGTGCTGCGTGGCAGCACCCACTGCTATGGTCCAGAGCTCAGTAGCTTGGGGGGGAGGGGCCTTATTTCCGGGGTGTGTGTGTGCCTTATATTTCAGCGAGAGGCAAAACTATAAGTAGGTCTTATTTTCGGGGGATGTCTTACATTTGGGGAAACGGTATGTTCACATTCCCTCCTACACAAACTTTCACCTGTTCAAGATTTAGCACTTATTGATGGTTAATCAATTATTGCTGAGTTTTAAAAAAGGGATGAAAATGACATGAGCTGGGAGCTTTGATGAGGTGTTGGATGTAAAACTGATGATCTGCTCTGTAATCTTCTACCTAATGCACATAAGGTTTTAAAAACTCATTACTGTGATGGCTCTCAAATAGTGACTGTCTAATTTCATGGCATTCTACTCTAAGGAAGAGCACGGCTTCTCTCCCCCCTCGGCTAATCTAGATCACCATATACTACTGGTGAGTTGGGAGTACATACAATATATACGTCTAATTCTTGGGAAATACTTATGAGGTACTTGGGAAAATGGCCCATGACATCTCAAATGTATCAACAAAATGGCAATCTAAAAATACGTATCTATACAGAGTTAAAGAAAATGTGGGAATGTTCATGATTCAATCTAAGTGAAGGGGGTATAGAAGTTTAATGTACTATTTTACAACTACCCCCACCCCTCAAGATTTGAAGTTTCCAAAATGTAAAGTAAAAAAACATAGGGCAGTTTAAAATGAGGTTCTGCTAACCCTGCACAAATAATTGGGGGAGAAAAAAAAATCCAGCCTTTAAATGTACTTTAATTGCATTTGAATATATATTCATATTTTATTACCAGTGTCTATAGAAATTTAACACTCAAGTGTGTGCAGTAGCCTTCTGTGGCAGAGGGCACACACTATACACAAATATCACACACTAAGATGCAGTACCACATGTGACAAGACGGTTTCTTGATTCAGTCAAACTAGGCTAGACAAAGCAGCAAACTCAAGGTGAATGATTTCCATTTTAGAATGCAAGTGAACATAACATTTTGTGAATGTTACAAATAACAGGCAGACTTCACCAAACTCAGACTTTTCCCCAAAGACTATACATAGACAAGTTCACAATATAGAAGCCTATACTTTACCGCCATTGGGGGGTTTTGTTTTAGCACAGCATACATTACAGACACACTTGCCTACAGTGCAATTTTGTATAAGAAGTGAGTAATAGTGCACTTAAATTCAAGAGTCACATTCAAATATATCAAGAGTACAATCCAAATACCCGGTTATTGGAGACATAGTTTTTTTTTTTTGTCTTTAACTAAGTTGTGCAAGTCCATTTTTAGTGTAAATAGTAATAGATCTATAGAGGTTCTAAGCAATGGGATTTAGGGAGTACTTGTATAAAAAGTCCACCTCTCGTAACCACTCTCTATGGAAGTAGAAATCCTCATCACTCTCCCACAGCTTTTGAAAACATACATATATTTTAATACTCTGATTAAATAAACTTATCTTCCATAAAAAAAAAAAAGTCCACCTCTCCAAAATATGTGCATTTTCAAAGTGAAGCAAATGTCTTGCTCACACAGACACAAGACAGCATTGCACAACTCAATTGCATCACAAACCACAAAGATAGTTAATCCTTAGACTTGCAGATGACTAAGCATAATGACTTCAAAGCCAGTACATGTTCATCAAGAATAACTTTTTAGGGCAATGTAGTATCTAGAGTGAGCCTCTTACCTTCCACTAAATTAAGCACGAATTGTAAATTCTATAGAAAGACTCAAGAGATGGGTCTTTAGGTTCTGAAAGAGAATTTGGATAACAAATTCAACCTCTGAAGAATCAAATCCTTTAGGTTCAGAAGACCTTTTCTGTGCTTTGGTTTAAGGAAGACAATGCTGTAGACACTGGATTATAAAGACTCAGTAAAGGTAGAAGTTTTATTAAGGAAAATAAGAACCAGTAACCAGAAAATTAGCATTTCATATCATCTTAGAAAAAATATTAATGGAGAAATCAGTGTTTTAATTTTTTTGTTAAGACAGTTATATAAAGACACTGTCTGGAAATAAATAATTTAGGATACCAGTTTTAGAGGATGGGGTGGGAGTGGGGGAGATCTGATCCGTATTAAAGAGTAAGAAATAACAAATCTCTGTTGCCTGAGGTAAAGTACAAACCTTTACCTGATGTACTGAATTACATCACTCCCTGGTAAATTTCAAAGCTTCTCAAAGAGGGGACCAACTATTCTATATACTCCCCATTCTTGGTCCAGGGCCCTTTCTCAGAAGAGTGCCCCTGCATTGCATCTGGAAGAATTCGGTGGACAGCAAGCAGAACTTCTGCCTCAAGTTTGATAATCTGTCTGATAATAAGTTACCTAATGGCCTACTTAAGGCTAACAATGAAATATTTCAGAAACTAGTATCTATAATAAAATGCCTCTAAGCAGATTTTTTTTAATGCAACAAAATGTTCTCCTATTTGTCACTTCGAGGGACTAAATTATTGGTCCATTCTTTTCCATGATACTGATATCTAAAAATTTCACATGAACCAAACAGAGTGAATCGAACACAAAGTCCCTACGAATTTTATCTCTTAAAATGAAACAAGAATGAGATCTCACCTGTTAACCAGGCCTCAGAGTTCAAAGACAAGGTTTTAAATCTCCCATATGGGGCCTTAAATGATATTAACTGTCCTCCAAAGTTTTCCCCTAAATAATTAAAAAATCTTGCTTCTAAGGCATAATTTTCTTACAAATAATTCAATAGACTGCTTAAACTCGCCATTATATTGTATAATTTCTGCTTTTCTTCACATCTAATGAAATAAAAAGTGACAAATTGTGACTTTTTGAATAACTGCCGAAAATTTGCCATAAACATTTTTTTGATTAAAAAAAAAACCCACCTGTTTTTATGACTCTAAAAAAATCATTCATTAGTTAGAATGACAGCTAATGACCCAAAGTCTACAGAGGTTTCTTTCTCTTGGCCAAGGGAAGAGCACTTTAAGATTTAGGAATTTTGGGTCTGAATGACAAGGAAATACCGTATATACTCGTGTATAAGCCGAGTTTTCCAGCACATTTTAAATGCAGTTTTTGTGGTGATATTAGGCGCCTCAGCTTATATTCAGGTCAGCTTATACTTGGGTATATATGGTAGAAAGGTAGCCGGTAGGGGAGGGAGAACATGGCCCTCAATGTAAATCGAACTATCCTGATACTCCTGAAAGGCGGTTACAGCCAGTCTTTGCATTTTAAACAATATTCTTTTGGTGGGGGGGGGGCATTTTTTTGCATCCCATGCAAACCAGCCTTCAGTATAAATGAACTCAGAGGTGTCTAATATGATGTCTAACACATATGAATGTCATGATGTCATACATTACTGGTGCCTATGTGGCGCTGTGTTTGCTAACAGCGCCACTATTCTCTTTCGTAAAGTTCACAAAACCGCATTTATCAAAAACAATTCTCCAGACTGACTCACAAGTCACTTCTTAGAGTAGCTCTAGATGATTTTCCTTAGGATCCATTAACTGAGAAGAAAAAGGCTTGTTCTTCAAATCTAGTCGAGACAAAACAGGAAGAAGAAAATGGGCACCTCCATGAACAGATTCAGCACTTGGCACCACTTCACCCAAATAGGCATCTCTCTAGCAAGATGCATCATTGTTTGTCTCCTTGTGTTAGCCTTTTAAAGAGAGCGTTAATCCCCCAGGATTCATCAAGCCAGGAAAGCAAGTCGGAATAAGACCAAGCCAATTTACCAAAAGGGCATTTTGACTATGGGTGGTTACCGAGCCTCTGCTACGTGTCTGAGGAGGCAGAAAAAGATGGAGCTTGGGCAACTGGAAATGGGAAGTATTTGCTAGTTTCTAAGGCCATAGATTTTGCTACATTTGATTTTTAAAATTATATTTTTAGCTCAAAACATGGCTCTAAAACAAGGTTCAGTTTGGGTGTGTTTTATACCGAAGTGGTTCTATATATAGATGGAGTGGAAATGATGTTAAAAATAAAATGTTCAACTATCCTTTTAAGTGAAAATTAGCATGGATGATAGTATTTGTTAAAATGAACAAAGTCACAAATCAGAAATATACATGGAAAACACTGAATCACAAACTCTGAAAAGTTGCAGGCATGGCATAAATAATGCCTTTACTATTTCTCTAACAATGACACATTCCACGTGTTACAGAAATTCAAAACAAAGTTTTATCACATTTCTAAACCATCTCCTCCTCTTAATTCATATTTGTTTAACATATAATGGACCTGTATATGGAGTCAAGATACATTTTCAAAAGGCTCACGCCAACAAGTATTTTTAACCTTTGTATTAGTAAACTCTTAAAAATTAAAAATAAACAAAACAGAACAACCCCCACACATACCCCAGTGCAGTAACAAATTCAGACAAGGGCAGTGCATCTCTCTGGTTTAAGGGAACTGTGTTTTCCTTGAAGCTTATTTCAGAACAAATCATTTATTCTAAATGATGGTGTGATTTTCTATCTAGCATTTACAACACACAATATGCAGGGTCAAACCTGAAAAACCAGATCAATAGTAACAATAGAATATCAAGAAACATTCCTACTTTCATTCCATATTTCACATACTTTTAGTGTCTCCTATTACAAAAACTCAATTACTTGTAATGTAAATACAGAAGACTCTACCTGGTGCCCTTATACAAGGAACATGTCTAGATTAAGCCTTCAGATTTCCCTTTCTCAGCAAATTAGAATGAGAATTAACTCAGCTTCGTGGGGCCACACTTTTTTAAGTAGAATGCCAATTTTATGAGCCAAAAGGTACTGCTGGAAATGGCATGTGAAACACAAAAACCCTGTTTACTGTTTCAGTTGTGAAAAATGTTTCTCTACCCAGAGTGCTGAGAAGTCCGCCCAATCAGTCTTCCCTGGAGATGCGCACCTTGCTGTCGGAGCACTGTCGGAAAAGTACAGACAGCTCGCGAGGAGTGGCGATGACGGGAGGGCTCTGAAGAAAGTCACCCAGTGCACAGAAGAGGACCAGCACCTCCTTCCTTCTTCCTCAGCCAAGACGCCTCAGGGGCCAAATGGAGCACAAGCAATTACAGTACATTTCAATAATAAAGAAATACAGGGCGCTAGAGGGCTCCCACATTTGAAGCCTTACATTCAAGGCTATTGTGTAAAAGGAGAGAGATGGAATACAGGTCCAGGGGCCCCTGGAAAAGAGTGTTGGGGTAGGGGGGTGTCCTCTAGGGGCTCTCTTGTATGCCATCCTCTGTTTCCAGTTCCGCCAACTGCCTCCTGAGGAGATTGACTTTTGCTTGTAATTCTTTATTATACTCAATGATGTTAACCATTTCTTCATAAGCTTCATCCAAATACTTGGAGGATCTATTCCAACGGAGAAAAACACCTATGGAATCCAGAAAGGGAAAGAGCAGGGAGAAGAACGCACACCATGGTTCAACAGTGTTCTTGTGGACAGTGAGTCATCCTGCTATGCACTATACATTACTTTTTAGATGCCTTTTTAAAAAAGAAAACAACTCACATGTTTTATTTTACTCTAACACACAGGAATCTCAATGTATGGAAAAGAGTGTAATTAAAATAATACTCAAGAAGTTACTGTTTCTGTATATATATGCTCATTATACACCTAAGATTTCAAAAAAGCAGCTGATAATGTACATCAAACCTTCCAGTTTTACAGTATACATATCCTTCAGTCTCTCTGCCTCTCTTTTTCTTAAAAACAGCTACAGAACTTTAGCGGGCCTGTAGGAGAATGTGTGAATGGCTTTCCCAGGAAAAGCAGTTGTAGTCCAAGCAGAAGCACATCTACTTATTTACAAGCCCTGTATATTTTCTTTGTCACTCAAGAGACAGTTTTTCACTTCTGCAGGTAGTTGCTTCTTTGCCCAAATGACAATAATTATCCTTTGATGATGGCCTTTTCTGCTTTCCTGGGACCAATGCTAACTACCATATACACTTGAGTATAAGCCAAGGCACCTAATTTTACCACAAAAAAACTGGGGCGGCTTTTTCAGCATAAAAAAATGTGCTGAAAAAAACTCAGCTTATACTAGAATATATATGGTATTTCACTCCAAACTAATGGCTACCAGAGATTCCAGTAAAGAGATCCTACCACTTCCCATGCTGCAACGTATCAGAAGCTGGCAAGTTCACAAAAGTTTCATGATTCATTAAAACATATGCTATAAACCAAACTGTCAAGGCCTTCATGAGTTCTTCTCTATATGAGTATGTGCAAGGTAAACAGAAACATAACTTAATGGTTGGCTGATGGGTGGGTCTGTGTGGATTTTTCTATTATACGAGTCTATATATTTTTAAAACCAGAGCCCTGGTGGCACAGTGGTTAAGTACTAGGTTGCTACTTGCAATCGGCAGTTCAAACCCACCAGCTGCTCCAAGGGAAAAGTGGCAGTGTGCTTCTGTAAAGATTTATAGCTCAGATACCCTAATGGGGCGGTTCTACTTTCCCCTTTGGGTCCTCCTGAGTCCAAATCTCAACTGGAGACTGAAGGAAAAGCTGACAGGAAAACAGAGGAAAGAGGGAACCATTCCACTACTAAGAAACCATCCGTAATTACACCCAGGTCTAAGGGACAGCTCCACCTAGTCATCTTCAGAGACAATGAACAGCACATGGTCGACAACACTAACAAAGAGTCTGACGGTGATGCACGGTTTACCTTCCCACAGCTGCAGGCTCTGCGGAGCAACGGAGGGCCAGATGACCAGACTGTTGGCTTCAAACAGAGGATTAGTGAATTTACTCAGTTCACTGGGTCGATTGACCCAGGACCACAAGGACATGGTTTTCTGCTGTAGCTTCAATTTGCATCTGGTAGAGAAAGGAAATGGTCATTAAAGCGGTTCACAGGTGTCATTACTAACTGGCTCCTCTTCATCTGATTTACAAACAGCATTCCTAACAATCCTGAAACTTTATTATAACACATTCCTTATCAGAGTAAATTGTTACTTAAAGATAGTGAACTGACACATTTTAAGGGGGAAAATTGAACAAGACTCAAAATACAGTTGTGGTAAACACTAAATTCACCAAAAACAGACAATATATTCAATTTTCACAAAGTTTCACTCTAACATTACTCTGTCTCTGAAATAACTTGATAATTTATGGTTGTATTATAGGGTCATTATGTACATTATTTTGTGCTAGCAATACAGATAATCTATATACTGACAGAAATTATATAATGCTCGCATTTAATTGCCTAGAAATCCCATTTCTTACACTCCCAGGAAGCAGGGATGGTATGGACAGAAAATCAGTGCACACACTGGTCCCCCTGCCCTGGCCCCTCCACTGGTGCATGGTTGGCCAATCGCTGAACTCTTTTCTGGCAAGGGCCAGACACAACTTCCGAATCCTTCCCAATCGGCACTACCAAACATGAATGAGCATATGAGATCAAAATCTATTTTAAATTTTTTACTGAAAACTAGCTCTGAGGGATGTTCGTAGCCAAAAGAGAGTTCCACAAACATATTTAATGTTGAATCAAACATTGCTTTATCCAAAGGCATCTTAAAGCCTTTAGTGATCATATGCATCATGATTCTTAAGGGGAAACTATGCTGTGACACTACCCAAACTTCCCTGACTCTTTTAGTTACATCTTCCTGAGCCTACTCTCCTCCTGAAAGCGCAGGTCCTGCGTTAAGTGGAACATACGTCAAGAAATAATGTGACAGGATGACCTTTGTGATAGCTACTTAGACATAGCCTTCAATCTCTTAAAAACATAACAAACCCGACCATGACCCATAAATCACTTCCCTTTGCGCACTTCACAAGAACCGGCGTGAAGGAGGAGACCTCGCACTGTCTGGGGTCACTCCTTCAAGAAGGGGGAATTGGGAGACGACCCTCCACTTGAGGCTAGACAACATCAAAACAAGGCTGGGACAAATCAATGGGCCCCCACAGGAATGGAAGGAGAAACTTTCCGGAAATTCAAGCCAAGACAAGGAGAGGAGACCACCTACATTGTGGAGGAGATGCTGACAGTTCTGTTGGTGAGGATGTTGGGTGACTACCACACAGAGGGAAAGGATGCTAACCAATGAGAATAAGGAACCTAGGGGGACAATGGGCCAGATTTTGGGTACCTGGGTAGACACTATGAATTTGTTTCTACCCAGCCCTCAAGGAACCACAGCATGGACTAAGCACCAAGAGGATCACAGAAACTGACCTGGCCGGCAGCACGCACAACACAGTGGCTAAATCAGAAGGACTTAACAGAGGTCCCGCTAAATGAACTGAGCCCTACCCTCGAAGCTGCCTGCACGCTAGGCCGGAGAACTGGGGTACTCAGATGGGAGAGAAAGCAGAGAGTAGCTGCCCCACGACTGTGCAAGCGGTGGTCCTTGGACCTTGGGGGGAACCCCTGGCTCTGTGGGTTTCCCATGGGAAGGGACCCAGGATCACCACACATGTAGTACCTCATTGCCCACCCTGCAGTGACACATGTTGGGATCCACTGAGCAAGGATCTGCACCTGTTAGAAGTGACTCAGGAAGGCCCCCACTGGCATCAAGCCCCATCCTTAGGGCCAACAGACCCCAACTGAATGAGCGATTGGACTGTATAGGACGAAAACTCATGGGTTACAGCTCAAGGTAGGACTGTACTTGCACAGTACTCCTGCCAACAGTGTCTGGAGTACTGAGTCATTGGGAAAATTGAGGATGGTAATAGTGCAATCGACTCATACTCCAGGAAGGTGCTTGACAATGCTGTACTTCTTTGTTTATATAGGTTTTTATTTTCCTGCTTGTAGCTTGCCTTTTTTGGGGGGTTTTGTCTTTTCTTTCTTTTTGGGTGTGTATGTTCTGTTTGTTTGGTTGTTAGTTGGCTTATGGCTGCTATGGATGCACTTGGTCCTATAGGGTTATGATTTTGTCATATTATGACCACCAAAGTAAGCCTGAGACATGCAAACCCCCATGGACAAGCCGATGGAGTCTGGGCTCCTACTTAATCCTAACATCAATTCAAGAACAGTTAGTTCTGATAACATGGCCCTGCTCGATACTCACCTTCTAGAAATGGTCACCTAAGATAAGGGTGCTACATCAAAGTAGATGGGTGTCTAGCTATCAATCGGAATAGTGTCTGGGGTCTTAAAGGCTTGTATTCAAACAAGTAGCCATCAAAGCAAGGATTCAGCTGAGTCCACACGGAAGAAGTATATAAGCTTGTGTGATCCAAAGAGGGCACTTACAAAATTCGAACAAGGTGAGGGGAAAAGTATCAGAGTGAAGACCCAGAACAAAAAATCCTATAAATGTGAATGAGGGCGGAGGGCAGAATGGAGACCCAAAGCCCATCTGTAGACAATTAGACATCCCCTTACAGAAGGGTCACGAAGAAGAGAAGAGTCAGCCAGGGTGCAGTATAGCACTGATGAAACACAACTTTCCTCTAGTTCCTTAATGCTTCCCCTCCCTCCACTATCATGATCCCAATTCTACCTTACAAATCTAGCTAGACCAGAGCATGTACACAGGTACAGATAAGAGCTTGAAACACAGGGAATCCAGGAACGATAAACCCCTCAGGTCCAATAATGAGGGAAGCGATACCAGGAGGGTAAGGGGAAGGTGGGGGCTGAAAAGGGGAACTGATCACAATGATCGACATATAATCCCCTCCCAAGAGGACGGACAACCAGAAAAGTAGGTGAAGGAAGACAGCAATTGGTGTAAGACATGAAAAAAAAATTTACAAATTATCAAGGGTTCATGAGGGAGGGAAGGTGGAGGAGGGGGGAAATGAACTGATACTAGGGGCTCAAGTAGAAAGAAAATGTTTTAAGAATGATGATGGCAACATATGTACACATGTGCTTGACACACTGGATATATGTATATATTGATAAGAGCTGTAAGAGCCCCCTATAAAACGGAGAAAAAAGTATCAGAGCTAAAATTATGACCATCAAATTTGTAGAAGGCTATGGAGGACAGTGGGAGCCCAAAGCCCATCTATAGTCGCTGGCAGATCCACAAAGACCACTGTAAGCTTGATCATGCTGGAGCAAACTCGATACTTGGCCAGTTGACCTCAATTTGTTCTGGGTGCAAGTATTTCTTAATTGTTCCATGACAGAAATCTCTTCCCTGGGTCTTTGAATCGTGATAGTGGTCTTTTTTCCTTATGCATTATTTGTATTTTTGTCTTTTTATTACTACTTATTATTTTATCCTTATCACTTTATTTCAATCTTGTTCATTATTGTTTCCGTTCAGTTTCCCAGTCTCTGAAGCACAGGAGGAGTAGACGCATAGTGATAACAACTGATACAAGGGTTGACTGGGGATGCAGGAGAGGGGAGGGGGATGGGTGATAGGTAAAGGCGATCTCAGGAATGAACCATGAAGGCACTGGAACTGACTGTGATTGCACAACTCATTTTAAAGGAGAGTTAACCATGGGGTGGGGGGGTGCGGAGGGTATGGGGGGGTGGGATGGTGTTCTAAAATTAATGGGGTAATGACTGTACAATTCTCTTTGATATGACTGAATGATTGACCGATTGAATTGTATGCTACATAAATTATGTGCCATTAAAACTATTGTTATTTTAAAGGTTTCTTAGATAAAATTTTGTTCACAATAAAGAAAATATTATCTGGCCATAGAATCATTTTTTTGCTGATGCCTATTAACATTCCTTGGCATTAATGTCCTAAAAAGGTCCACAAATAGGTGACATCTCACATGCAGAGTCTGGGTGGTGGAGGTTATTTGGTGCTCAATCATATTTCCCTGCATCTGATAATACCAGCATCAAGTACTCACTCACTGGCTGTTACAGTCTGTAGAATGCATGTGGCAGCCAAAGCACTTTTAAGAGCTCTGTGAACATGATGGGGGGAGTGCGGAGTGGAGACCCAAAGCCCATCAGTCGGCCACTGGAGATCCCCTTGCAGAGGGGTCTCGGGGAGGAGATGAGCCAGTCAGGGTGCGATGTAACAACGATGAAAAATACAACTTTCCTCTAGTTCCTAAATGTTTCCTCCCCGCTCCCGCTACCATGACTCGAATTCGACCTTGCAAGTCTGGCTAGACCAGAGGATGTACACTGGTACAGATAGGAACTGAAAATACAGGGAATCCAGGGCGGATGAGCCCTACAGGACCAGTGGTGTGAGTGGCGAAACAGGGAGGGTAAAGGGAGAGTGGGTAGGAAGGAGGGAACCGATTACAAGGAACTATATGTGACCTCCTCCCTGAGGGACGGACAACAGAAAAGTGGGTGAAGGGAGACGTCGGACAGGGCAAGATATGACAAAATACCAATTTATAAACTATCAAGGGCTCATGAGGGAGGAGGGAGCGGGGAGAGAGGGGAAAAATGAGGACCTAATGCCGGGAGCTTAAGTGGAGAGGAAATGTTTTGAGAATGATGAGGGCAGTGAATGTACAAATGTGCTTTACACAATTGATGTGTGTATGGATTGTGATAAGAGTTGTATGAGCCCCTAATAAAATGATTTAAGAAAAAAAAAGTGAAGACCTAATGGGGTTAATTACAAAAAAGTAACGTAACAGTAAAAAAAAAAAGGGGGGGGGGGAAAGACGGAGGACTGGGAGTGGAGCATGCCATTTGGACCCCAAGATCTCCTTGTCCAGTCAAAGGAGGTCAGGCCATGCCCATTCTGCAACTAGAAAGTTAATTTGAAACACTGAAAATAAGTTTCATTAATTGAAAACTAAATGTGGAACAATGCCCACAGATTTCATTTAAATCTAACGTATGAATAAATAGCCCACGGGGAAATGATACTACCACCCACCTGAATGTGTTTACAAATGTTTAATTTTATACTGCCAATACAGAGGCTATCTCAGCCTACCAGACCTAAAAATAGTACTGTCTTAACTCCATCCTATTAGGATGAAACAGAGAGCAAGTACCTTGGGAGTAAAGAATACACAATACAAACTACAACGTGCTCATTGAATTATCTTTCTAGTAACCCGGTAATGTAAGTAACGTGCAGTTCTAAAAGCTAGAGCCCCCTTCAACGAGAATGCCGGGATGCCGAGATTGGTCTCTAGGATCTAAGCAGTTCCAAGCACTTTCCTACTTCTGAAAACAAATGTCAAAAACTTCCCAAGGCAGCTCTTAGGGGAAAAGAAAAAAAATTTTCTGATCTATCTTCTTGAATTTCAAACTGGCAAAGGCACAACACTTCATACATACGTGAAAAACTGCTTGTTTCAATTTGCTATTTAATTAGATGATGCTAGCATTTGGTGGTTATACAATGGGCTGCTAACTGCCAGGTCAGTAGTTTGAAACTACCAGGTGCTCCTACAGAGAAAGACGAGGCTTTCTACTTCCACAAAGAGGTGCAGTGTTGGAAGCCCACAGAGGGGGTTCCACCCTGCCCTAGAGGGTCCCTAGGAGGCGGCATGACATGTGGCAGGGAGGGCAATCAAACACAAGGCACATTCTGTCTCTCATCCAGAGGAGGTTCTAAACACTGCTGTAGTCAGCTCAACTCCTGGCAACCTATGGTTCATGGAATGAACTGCTGCCGCCTCGCAGCATCACGTGTTGACTATTGGGTCACTTACGCTTGGTAAAGTGGAGGGTCAGTGAAACAGCGGAAGACCCTCAACAAGATGGACTGAATCAGTGGCTGCACTAATAGGCTCAAACCTAACAACACTTTTGCGGATGGCACAGGACTGGGTAGTGGTTCCTTCTGTTTGTGCGTGGAGTCCCTACGAGTCCCAAACAGCTCAACTCCTCCAAATGACAATTTACACTTACCTGCATCTCTACCTTCTTCTTATCAGCAACATCAATGTCGAACCAAAGTCTCCATTAGGAAGTGACTCAAATGAGTAAAGTGCAAACGCCCAATGTGAGCCTGTACTCACCTTTCACTTTCATTGTTGCCCAGGAATGTTCCGAACTGTGAGGCATATGCGTGCTCAAAGAGCATGATGAGGAAATGCTCATTAAACTCAAAAGAGCAAGGGAACTGACGAAGTATCTGCCATACACAGTCCAAGAAGAGAAGAAACACGGGGGACTCCCACTTCTGCTTACTGCTACAATACGCCGACTGTGCACAGCGATGCTGGAATGGGTGTCCAGCCTAAGAAAAAAGATGGAGATACAACAATCATCTCCTCGCAAGGGCCAACACTGAGATCACATAATGGTATCGTCTATTAGCACTTGTCACGATTACAATCAATCTACTAATGGGAACATCATGTAAATAGGGTAGCTGCTACAATACCTGGTGGCACAGGTGGCCCACTGAACTGCTAACTACGAGCGCCTTGGTTCAAGCCCACCAGGTGTGGGAGAAGGATGAGACTGTCTATTCCCATAAAGACTCAAAGCCTCAGGAACTCAGAGGGGCAACTCTGCCCTGTCCTACAGCACCTCCATGAATCAGAATCGACTTCATGGCAGTGGTTTCACTGGAGTTTTTGGTTTAAATGAAGTCAACAACCAAGGAAAAAGATGCAATTTACAAATCCTTAATATGAGTATGTAGATATTACCACAGGGACTACAACTCTCTTTTGCATATCAAATGAGGAAACAAGGCTCTTCAATGATGAGATACATAAATCTTTCCAGATCTACACAATTTGGAATAAAATTTAAGAACATGGGCTCTTTAGGTACCAAGCAAAGGATAGCTATCACCTTATATCTTTAGATTTTTAAATGTCGATTGTCAAGAAGGTATCTGAATGATTAATTTTAGAAAGAAAATGTGCTTAGTTTTCCTCTCTCCCAAAGAGAACTGGAAGAGTCTGCCATCTACTGACTAGTAAATGTTATGAACAATCAGTTAGCTCTCTTCACAGCAACTGAACCCTAACCTTACCACAAATCACACTTGGGAGATGATTTACAAGCCCTGCTATCTCTCGGTCTTTAAAACTACTTTATCTGACAAAGATAATCATATGCAGACTTTGCAGTGGCTAACAGGATTTTGATACCCATAGGATAGTAGCATCTACAAAAATACCGAACATTTTTGTCAGGTTATTGCATCGTTGCAGCAGGAGGGAAGTATTGGAATAGATGGCCAGATAAGGACAGTAGATTTAGGGTGACCTTAGAGATAAAGATCGGGTGTCAAGCAGGGTAGACAGGACAAAGCTACAGCTAGCTGCTGCTGAGCTGACTCTAATTAAGGGCAACCCCATGTGTAAGGGAGCAGAACTGTTCTACTGGGTTTTCTTAGCTGTAACCCTAAAGGAAGAGGCAGATCACCCGGTCTTTTCCTCCACAGTACTGCTCAGTGGGTTTGAAGCGCCAGTCTTTAAGCTAGTACTCAAGGACAACGCATCTGCGCCACCTGGGGATCTGACATCAGTCCCAGCAGCATTAGCACAGAATATATTTGAGAATAAAATATAAGGGCTAGAAATGGTTTTTCTCCAGAGGTGCCTCTGCTGTCAGGATAAAGCTAAGTCTTTGTTTTTGGTCACTTTGTAAATACTTGGGAGAAGTCCGATGTTAACCGTTGACTCGGAGGATTTCTTTCGGCATTGGGTGGTCAGAATGTAGGAGTCATCCAGCACTCTCTGCCCGCACCTGTTTACTCTGGGATAAGCACATGGACAGAGAACTCACTTTTCTAGATCTTGTTCAGGAGTCAGGGTTGATTTTAACTGTGGGAGGGGTTAAAGTCTCAAGCCAGCACAAAAGCGCTAAGAGCTAGCTAGCTGGATCTTAGTAAGGAGAAGGGAAAAGGGTAGGATGGGCAGCAGAAGCAAAAGGCTTATCAAAGGAAGTGCTGGAGGACACACCTTACATCAGGATGACAAATCCCCGACCCCCCCACCCATTTACTTCTGTCCTGTATCTCTATCCACACGAAGCTGCTGCGAAACAAGTGGGTTCTGTGTTTGTTTCTTTGTGTTTCTCTTCTCTATAGCAAAGTGCAGCTAATAAGAATTCTTTTGTTTAGTGAATGAAGTGCCAAATGAGCAATAAAAGCAAAGTGGCAAAGTCTGATGTGACAGAGATGACACATATATTAAGAGGAAGCGAGATTAACTGTCCACCCGTGAAAACTTTTAATCAAGATTGTACACATTCCGTCAGCTACCATGAGATGGGACGTTAACATCAATAACAGCACCTCTTCTGAGAGCCAAGTAACTTTCTCACCTGTAGCCACTCTCTTTCTATCAGGGCCTCAAAACCTCGGATGGTCCTGCTTCTTGGTTCCAGGATGATCTGGGCCAGGGAGGCAACTTGAAGTGTAGAATCAGTTCCTTCCGTTCCATGAATCAGTATTGATGCTCCTTCCCTGATAGGAAAATCCAGAATACAAATGGGATAGTCCCATTATGGCAAATGAACTCTGTCAATAAGAAGCACGTATTGAGTTCTAGGGCCTTATGTGATTTTCCCTGCTCAGTAGGGTTTACAGTCTAAATAAGGCATATGGTAGAAGAGAGATTCTCTTAAGGAAAAAACAAAACCCCACGGTTTACATGGCAAGAACCTTTAAATTATAACCATTCTTTATCTGAATTTTCTCTCCCTTTACAAAAAAACACGGATTATCCTTCTAGGTGCTTCACCTTTCTGCTTTCATAGTTCACAAAAGCCTTGTCTCAAACCGAGAAGCAAACACTTAAAACTATTCTTCTGTGCCTTTCTGGTCTCGATTCTACCCTTGCACCATCAGCTGACTTTAAGGACACTGGACACTAACGAACCTGGAAAACATGGACTAAAACCAAGAAAACAGGTGGGAAAAAAAGCCAAAAACATAAAACTGTTAAACTAGAAAATGGCAATTAACCCACAATAATTACAAAGAGTCTGTCACCCCGGTATTCTACAGAAAATGAGAGATCAAAGCAAACACTAATCAGCTGTGTCTCCCTTTACTGAGCCAACAGTGAAGAACATTTTGGACAAAGGAGAAGCTCAGCGACCTTCAGGAGGCTCTCTTACTGCCAGTTCTTTCCCCACGCATATACGCACTTGCTACCCTAATGCAATTTCCTATTATTTCCACTCTTATTGTAGACATTTCCCATGTTCCTATGTTAACTTTGAAAGTATTATTTTTAGTTACAGACAATATTCTATTTAAGTGATGAATTAGAATTTACTTAATCCTATAGTTAAAACATTTAGCTTACTGCCAATTTTCTTTACTATAGACAATATATTTAGTTTGCTGTCTTCTGAATTAGCCAGCAGTTCTTAAAGCTCACCTGTGGTTAATAATCTCAGTTTGGGGATAAATATCTAACTACTAGGCTGAAAGGGAATGGGTGAATATTTTAAGGTTTCTGATAATAAGCTCTTCATTATCTGTGGTATACTCTGAATTTAAGTTAATTTAAGGCCTACCATTACATTTTGAATACTTAACTATTATAAGGGCATATTTGAATGAACGGACAAATAACTGGCTAATATGCACCAGAAAAGTGACAAATCCTATCGAAAGCTCTAAGCCTCACAAGCATTTCGAGGACCCTATTCGTTTCGGGTGACCGGCCCAAACTAAACCTCAGTGGAGAAAATAAACTCTCTTCTGTACCTAGAGCTGCCTTGATCTTCATCATCGGTTATTAAGGCTGAAAATCTAAGCAATATTCAAGTGGTGCACACTGTCAATTGTAATTCATGTATCCTAACAGAAACCTCTGTACTGATCACATACAGGGAAATCTGGTAAACTTAGGTTAAAAAGAAATGAACCCCTTCTTGTTAACATGTCACCATCTGTGCCTGCCCTGCCTCAGAAGCTGGGTCTTCACTAGTTCAAACAGCTTCTCCCTGAAACAAAGCGGGAAGCCTGAGAATCCCGACACCACAGCTGCCCTGGCCCCTGCCAGCTCTTCACTAACGTAGGAGGCGATGGTAAGAAACCTGACTCCGTATTCCACTTCTAACACTGACAACCATAGTTTCCTAATTTGGGAGTACCAATAAAACACATTAAAGCCTCAAAGAAAAGTGTCATCCAACTACGTGATGGCAATACTTATATCTGCTTCCTGTCTCTGTGGGAATCCCCTTCTTAAAAGGGGCATTATAAGTTTCTGCAACAATGTACAGTGAACCCTCGTTTATTGCGGTTAATCGGTTCTAGACCCTACCGTGATAAATGAAATTCCGTGAAGTAGGATTCCTTATATCCAAAAGTTTTACCTTTTCCTGGATGGTGAGCATCTTCCTCTGGCGCTTATTTTTATTGTCAGAAGGCTTAGAAGAAGCAGCTCGTTTAGGAGCCATCATAGGGCTTAGATAAAATTTCTTAAAAATCGCAAACAATTACAGTACACTGTACAAAAGCAAAAATGCATCTGATACGTAGCTCCGATATGTAGCAATGCAGACAGAAGCATGTACAGTATGAGCCAATCAGTGGCAGTAATGACAGAGCATGCGCTGTTACGCAAAAACCGCGATAGAGTGAAGCAGCGGAAGTCGAAGCGCGAAGTGGCGAGGGTTCATTGTATACCACTCTTCTGCCTCAAGATTCAAGGAATAGCAACCATTAACTGGGTGACCACACTGAAATCAGTACATATACTTCTCATCACCACCATTAGGTTTTTCTCAACTTGACATCCAGAGATACCTGCACATACCAAGTAGTCTGTAATAAGATATCTGAGAGATGAGAAAAATGTATTTTAATGTGTAGCATTATTTTTTCCTTTCTTAGATATTTCAAAAGCAAGGAGGCAAGTTAGGTCCTCTGAGAAAACACATGAAGAAATCTTCCATTCTTTTTCACAGCTTAAGAAAAGGAAAAGGAGTAGATGCATTAACTCAAGGATTTCATAAGAAAAAACAGGCCTTTTAGTAGTTGAAAATGGTGTCACAGAAGACGTGCACATGTGTGCCTGGTTCACATTCACTTAACAAACATTACTTATCTATTATTAAATGCCACAATCTACGGGCACACTTCACCTGGAACTGAGTGGTCTTAACTACTACCTTACACGCAGTGACTTATCAAACAGCCTGAAAGCCAAGCCAGGCCTAGTTGTCAGCATATGTTACATACAGAAACACCGCAGGGACTTTACCTGTCAATACACTGAGCCACCAAACAGGCAGTTGTCAGAATCTCTTTGATGTGAGTTAGCCAGTTTGAGGCCTCCAATTTACTGAGCCATCGGTCCATGCTATGTGTTTGGTCATTGCAAGCTTCCACAAGTTTGATTAAGCTGTCCTGAAGAACATGATACCTTTCAAAAACGAGACGTGAAAACAGGATGATACGGGGAAAACCAACACACCCAAACTCAACCTCCAATTTAAACAGAGCCAAAAGTAACTCAAAAGATGCTCCAAATATTTACCTTGGTATAGAATACTTTCATGGTTGAAGATTAAAATATTAGTATTTAAGAGTTTCCAAAAGGCCTGGCATGATAAACTACTCCACGCCTCAACAGATTTGATCGGCGGCTGACACAGCTGAATCACGTGGCTAGGGGAGCAGCTGGAGTACTGCCCGTTGTGAAAGGTGACGTGTACAGCACCACTTCCACCGCCCTGCTTCCCCCGAGATCTAACACTGGATACTGCAGGACCAGCAGCAGTGACACCCAAAGCCAACTCAGCCGCATTTGCTTTCTGCCTTTAAAAAACAACAACACCCCCCAAAAAAAAAAAAACAACAACACCCAACTCCGAACCAATCCAGAAGCACTTGTAAAGCATGAACATTTAATGAGTGACAACAACAGTGGTGGAGAGAGGATATGAGATAGATGAGGATGAGAGAGAGAAATCTCTCCGGCATTTCGCTGAGGAAGTATCTAATCTAGCTTATCTGTTCAGTACTCTGATCAAAAAGTGTAAATTTAGAGAAAGAATGCTCCTTCACTAAAACGAACCTGTCTGCAGCAAGGTATGTTTTTGGCTTCACTTATAAAACAAATACAAGAGGATATCCTGCCCGTTTGTGACTAATATGTAGCTTCACTTAGCCATTTGGGATTTTTTAACTGCTAAAGGCCGACCAGGAGTACCTGGGGATGGGCCTACTAATTGAAAGGCTGACAATTAAAACCACTCAGAACTCTACCGTGTCCCTATCGGGTTGCTATGAGTTGGAATCGACTTGACGGCAGTGAGTTTAGGTTTTCTTGGGGAAAGTACCTCAGAAGTAGGGCCTACCAAAGTGCTTCCCAAAATGCAAAGTCTTAAAAAGCCCACCCTCCAGAGCTCTGTACACAAGGGGTTTCCAAAGTCAGACTGGACCCCATGGCTACTTCCAACAACAAAAACAAGGGCCCGCCCCTCTTTGTAGCTTCAAGTAGGCGTCCATTACTCTCCAGAATCTCTTACCTCTCAATGGACTTATGAATTCGCCTCCACTGAGGATAATGAGCTTCTTGTTCAAAGCCACCACCCTTGGCTCTAGCTTGTTGAGCCACATTTAGGGACCGGGTGTCAATGATGTAGCCCCGTTTCCCTGTTCTCAGAGTAGCATTTATCAGCTTCTCATCTTCCTTGCACCGTCTCCCATTTGTGCCCGTCAGTGGCTGACCACTTCGCATAATAACCTAGAGAAAGACGCAGTTGGAAATTCAGTAAGAGCTGCTGTGACAGTACCTAAAACCAGAAACAACGTAGCTGGATAAAAAGAAATCTCAAACCCGATGGCGGCACGAGACGAAGCTGATCCTAAAATAAAGAACTGTTTCCATATACTGACAGATTAATAGCTCTAGTAAAAATGTTAAGAAGCCAGGATAGGGAAAGGG